GGGTTTGAACCGCCAGGCTTCTGGTTAGCAGTCAAGTGCCTTAGCCACTATGCTACTAGAGCTCCCTGTTCTTTGCTAACCATGTTCTTCTCATCCCCGGATATCTGATATCTAGTGATGATGGGAATTGTGTGTGTTGTTTATTATACAGAATAAACAGTCATTATTGTGGCTGACATCAAGCATACAGAGGAAGTAGCTCCAACAACACTCAAAAAATAATTGGAGCAGCAGACCACACCTTGAATCGCAATTTATGAAGTTTTTCACTTTTCCGGACATTTCAAATTATATATAGTGGCTGAAAGTATCACCATTCCAGGAGCTGAGGAATCTTCTGGAAAGGACATCAAAACCAGAGGTCTTCATTGTCCTCTCTCCAGGCTGTGACACATAGCAATGCACACACGGCGGACAAGAACCAAGGCAGATGTCATGCAAGATGTTTTCCTCATGACAGTTCCTTCCATGGCTTAGCAATGGACACTGCTGGAGACTTTGGGAATGATTTCTAAGCACGCTGTCCTGGTGGGGCATCCAGCAGAGAGCAAGTCTATAGGAGCACCAATCATTTTACTCTTTACTACAGTTCCAGAGAAACAGTTTCTATACAAGTGCCTATAAACCCAAGAGCCTTCATCTTCAGACAAATGGAATCTCTCAGGCGTATTGGGCCGTGTCCTAGAAGGCGCTCCGTACTCTTCATCTATACCACCCCCTTTCTCTGCTTCCCTGAGCTTCTTGTTTTCTCTAAGTGAAACAGAAACTCCGGAGTCCATCCTTTCCCCAGCCTGTAACCAATCAATGACTAAGTCCTTTATTCTACCTCTGAATATTCACTTCTTTCCATCTCCTCCACCAACCATCTTAATCCAGACCCATCTCAATACTGCAATACAACTGGCATTCTGAAAATGTAAGTTAGAGAGTGCCAATTCCCTGCTTAACCTTTCAAGGGTTTCCCATTGCATGCAGAGTAAAAGATAAACCCCTGACGGTGGCCTCCATGATCTTCAGCTTTCCTTAACTCTTGCTCATTATTTTCTAGCCACCTTGGTTGCATTCAACGGTTTGCACAAAGCAAGCTCTTTCCCTTCTCAGGGGCCCTGAACATGTGCTTTCTTCTGCTTGGAATGCTCTTCTGCCCCACTCTTGAGATCCTACTGCACCCAATAGTCTGTGTCCCCCTAAACTTTAGGTTTCAAGGTTCCTTCATCTCTTATCTCAAGTAGGTTACATATCAACCACTGTTTGTTTTCATCTTAACTTTTATCTTGGTTACTAACCGTCTTCTTTATCTTTTTATTTAACACTTGCACAATATACAAAAAAATATTCAATAAATATTTGCTGATGAAATGATGGTTTTTTACTTAAAATTCTGGGGATTAAACTGAAGGTGGAGGAAACTGGAAAAAGAGAAGGTACCTCTGAAATATGCTGCTTCTGAGAGCTCTTCAAACCTCCCAGACTTTCAGCTATCACACTTTCTTCAGGGCTCACATACAACTGTGGAGTGGTACCACTTACCTAAAATATGATAACATCTTTGCCAAGAAGTTTGGACTTATGGAAGGTGCTTTATGAAAATGAATTGTAAACAGAAAGCGGAGACACTGCCACGAAGTTAAAATAATTGTGTTATTCTACATTCCAAAGAGTTTTAATTTAATTTTTGGAAGATATTGGTTTATAGAGTTTTAAGATTTATTTTTAATCCAGATCTCCAAAATCAAGATGGGTGGTAAAGAGCAATGAAAGAAGAAAAGGAATTTCTACATACATAGAAATTAGATGGCTGGTGAGCACCTCTACTACCTAGTAATGAATTCATCAATTAACCAACAGCTGGGTAGGTTTTACCAATTCATTCTCCAACTGAACATTACACTTACTTCAGTGTCTGCTTTGCTGCTAGTTATTCTATCTATTGATGTAGTGTGAATAGTATGTATATCAGAAACATCCTAGTGTGGAACTTAATCTCTGCACCTTCCTTTGAGATCTTTTTGGTTACCAAAGTTTTAAGAGATGTTTGGACATTCCTCTCCCTTTTCTACAAAGGGAAAAACCAAGTTGGAGAGAGGCTTAATAATTTGTCCAAGGCTACTTGGAACACACATGAGTTTAAAAGTTCCATCTCTGTCAGGGATACAAGCTGCCTCAAGCTTCCAAAGAGAGCTGAGGGTTTCAGGAGCTCTCTGTGAGGCCCCCCAGCCCTCTGGTAGGGGCTGGGAGACTCCATTTGCTCACTATTCCATCATCATCATCTCACAACCTGTTCATGTGTGTGTCTTCCCCAACTAGAACATGAGCCCTCTAGGCATTTCCTTCTCACTCCTCTATCCCTACAGCCTAAGAAGCTATGGTGTCACAATGATTAAGTGCTCGGCTGCTAATCAAAAGGTCCATGGTTTGAATGCACCAGGTGTTCCTTGGGAGAAAAGGCCCAGTGCTTTGCTTCCATAAAGATTAGGAAACCCCGTGGGGGCAGTTTTACACTTTCATCTAGTCAGGGTCACAAGGAGCAGGAATTGCCTGGATGGCACAACAGCAACAACAACAACATCCCTTGAGCCTTTACTGGAACATAGCACATGGTAGGTTGCTCAGTATACATCTGTTGAGAGACAAGAAAGAAAAAAGGGAGGAAGTGTGGTTTCTCAGGACATAAAGTGAACATAGCTGTGATGCACTGTGTTGCCAGGTTCACAACGAATCAGGGCAATATTGATTTTGATTATGGCTTGATGAAATTCCTAGAATGTAAAGTGGCCCGAATTTTATGCAAATCTAAGGAGATTATTACAGCTGGCTCCTTTCCCTACTAATCAGTGAATGACTCTAAAACAAATATGGAAATAATTTGCAAATATTGTTACAAGTGGAAATGTCAGCATTGCAATCAATGAGTCCTGCTGATGAAGCCGCTTAGGCTTTTGCTGAACAATGGCCATGAGATACAAGCGTTTTTATCAATAGACGAGCTTGAGGGAGTTAGTCCTCAGCTCTTCCTTGCAATGGAGGACAGGTGAGTTATGCTTGTACTTCAATAAACATCAATGCCCAATATGCCGGAAATTCACAGTATGAATAAAAAGGAGGCATATACTGCAATGTGTTAACTCAAGGATGAGGATATGGAAAACGTTTCCACTTCCCCACCCTCCCCTAACTAACCCTTTTCTGCTTTTAATCTCATATTGGAAATGGGAAATCTCACTTGGCCACATACACACACTAAAAGAAACACACCAACCAAAAATTTAATGACAAACCTGAACAACTGCATCTCCATGTCTCCATGTCATGTTCTCTGGTCAAAATGGACAAAGACAGTCTTCAGGAGTGAAAGTCACCAATAGGTCAACCAATAAGTCATCAACTATTTGGTCCATTTTAAAGATAACCTGGCACCAAGATTTAACTTACTAATTTAGAGTCTATCATTCCATGTAAGGATCAAGCGATTTCATTTTCAGCAGTGCAATTATATGTATGCATGTGTGTGTGCATATAATCCTTTAGCACCCTGAATTATTTAGGTAGTACCTCTGTTTAAAACATGACATATCTCCTTGAATACAACATGGCATTTAAAGAACCTGCTTTATATGATAGATACAAAGTAGATTTGTATCAAAGTCCTTTGTGCAGAAGTTCACATCCACATAGAAAGTGGGTGCTGAGAAATATAGATGACATGCATGAAGTACAAAAATCTGGTGAGAAAAGGGTGCACCTTCACCCAGAGGCATCAAGTCAGGGGTGGCTGTGACTACTGACCCCTAAGGCACTGCTCCTCTCTGCATTTCTTTCTTTGCTGACCTGCCTCTGTATAGTGTCTGGTGACTGCAGGAGTTTGTAGATGCAAAGCTCTGGCAGATAGCAGATGTACCAATTAATAACCTGTCAGTTCTGATGGATAGAAAGGGGAGAAAGTGTCCTCTCACGTCTCTCCAGTGTGTTTTTCTTCCCCATTTCACTCTGCTCCCCTGGAGGGAACCCAAACTGTCTCATTAGTGTCTCTGTTTCATGACACTCTGAGGCCACCTTGGCTGTGGTGACTCACCTGCTCTTCTCCAAGAATCCTGAAGTGATGCAGCTCTTTAATCAAGGAGTTGGGACAGCCAGCTGTGGAAAAGAAGAGTTGATCACACATAGGTCGTTACCATTCCGTGCGGCAACACATTGTCACTTACAGTTATGAATTTCATTGATCAGGGTGGTTGGTGGGCACATACAGATATGTGCCCCAAACCACAGACTCAACAACCACAGACAAAGTCAGTCTCCCGGGAGGTGGTGGTTCTGCCTGGCTCTAGGTGGGTTAGAAGAAGGCATCATATATGACTCTGGCCAGGCCTTCTTCCCTCCTGATTAGGATCTGACCTCTCTGGGGCCTTAGGACACAAGCCATTTCTGGTCTCTAGAGAAACTCCCAGCATGTCATTCTTGCTGTTGGCAGTTGCCCTCAAGTTGGCCGCCAGCTCATGGTGACTTCACACACAATGAAATGATGCACTGCCATCCCCACGGTCGGCAGTGGCCCGCACCGTTGTGAGCCACAGCATTTTCCTTGACTGATTTTCAGAAGGAGAACACCAGGCCTTTCTTCCTACTCTGTCTTAGTCTAGAAGCTCTGCCGAAACCTGTCCGGCATCACAGCAACACAGGCCTCCACCGTCAGACGGATGGGGGCCATGCTTTAGGTGCACCGGCCAGGAGTCACAGCGGGGTCTCCCACATGGAAAGGGAGAATCCCATCACTGAACTACCACCGCTCACCTCCTCGCATGCTAATTGTTTCTAACACAGAGCTGGGATTTTGTGGGCCAGAGTGAAAGAGTGAATACCTACAGTATCTTGCTGCTTTACCAAGTACTGTTTTCCTCACCCTCAAGACTAGGGCCAAGAGTTAGGAATGGGTCTTTCGCACCCATGAAAATTCAGTGGTTGAGTCTGGAAAGTGTCTTTACTGAAAACGACCTGGGAAAGATGGCTACCTTGGTGCCCTCAGTTTCTAGCTCCATCCAATCCAGAAGAGCTACACACCCTTAAGATTTTCTTTCCTCAGTTGCAACCAAAAAAGAGATTAAACTAAGTAAGTCAGTGAAAATTGCTTTCCAATAAAATTATTCCCTGGTTAAAAAAAAAAAAAAAAAAAAAGGTTGTAGTCAGTTATAATATTAACTCTAGCAAAAAAAAAATTGCTGTAAAAGTCTATTTCTCTGATATAAGAACTCTGGATAATATAATCTGTTGAAATTTTTATTAAAGAAATTTGAATGATTGCAAATTATACCCCAAAATTATGATTCATTTCTGATATTACTCAGCATCCTGATACAAGAATAATCAGAAGTACTGGGGACATTTGTGTTGGGAGGAAAGACTTAGAGGACGATACAGTTGTATGTTTATATACATGAAGGTATCTTCTTTTACGACAACCAACAAGAAAAGTTTACAGCAGATAGACTTTGATTCAATAGAAAGACATTTCTCAGCTAAGTAAAGGAACTCTGGTGGCACAGTGGTTAAAGCATTCAGCTGCTAACAAAAAGGATGATGGTTTGAACCCACCAGCTGCTCTGTGGGAGAAAGAAGCAGATTTACAGCTTGGAAACCCTATGAAGCAGTTCTACTCTATCCTACAGGGTCGACCTTGAGTCAGAATCGACTTGATGGCAGTTGGTTTCTAATTCAAATATGGAATGGATTGCTTTATAAGCTAGTAGCTGGGGTTTTCACACTGGATGCTAGCTAGTTACTTCTGCTGGATGTTTCCCAGAGGATTTGACTGGGTTAGTCCAATTGTGAAATTCTATGGTCATATAAAATGATGGAACCTATTTTTAGTCTTTCATATTATGATGCATTTCCTATCCTGAGGAAGAAGTTCAAAAACATCTTTTAGCACAAAAGGCTAAAGACAAAAGAAACGCAAACAAGGTGATGTCCACATCTGACAATAGCCCAAGAAAATAAATAAAAATCAGGAGGTGACTATTTTGATAGAAAATCTAATTTATCATTTTGCAAAGGAAGGTCTGATATTGTAAAGCACAAAAGTTCGACCCTTGACATTTGAGGACATAATGGAGCTAAATGTTTTTCAAACTGGGGGTCCACAGGCAAAGAACTGTGGTGTGAAGCTTCTCTCTGAGAACAGTTGAAGCGTGGTGCTGCTGTCTGAGGGTCATTTCAAACATTAGGGTTCTGGATCATTTGCTTGATCTCAGTGTAACCCCAAACTGCTCTGCCTCAGTTATTCCTTGTGTTTCAGATCTCCTGGTGGCCAGTAGTCATACTTTTGTTTTCTCAAATGAATGAGAATAGAACCCAGATGGATAACATGCAAGTGACATACCCCCAACAATAAGCGAGGGCCAATGGGTGAAGGACGACTCACAGGGGAGAAGTGGGGAAGAACTGGGATATCACCCAGCTCCTGGTCACAAGCATGCTGGGCTCACAGGCTCTGGCTCACAGTGAGCCCAGGTACAACACACACACACACACACACACACACACACACACAAAGCTGCCTGGGCATGTGCCATCCCCACAATCAGTTGCACAGCAGACAATTTTGATGCCATGGTTCTAGTGACTGATTTTCAGAAGTAGACCTTCAGGCCTTTTCCTGGTCTGTCTTAGTCTAGGAGGCCACTGAAACCTGTTCAGCATCATGGCAACACCCCTCCCCCCTCCTCCCCCCACACACTGACAGATAGGGAAACAAAACAAACTCAATGCCTCTGAGCCAACTCTGCCTCACAAAGAGCCTCTGCGATGGAATGGAAATGCCCCATAGGGTTTCCAAGGCTGTAAATCTTACAGAAGCTGACCGCCTATCTTTATCCTGCAGAGTGGTGGAAGGTTTGAACCACTGATCTTTTGATTAGCAGCCCAATGCTTTTAACCACAGCATCACCATAGCTCCTTGACCAATGGGTGCTGGCTGTACATGAGATGCACTGGCTGGGAATTGAAC